GTGTATGCTAATCTCAGGTCGATTGATGGATTATCGTATGCCAGTGGGGGCATGGAGAGTCAATGACTGACATTAACTATAACCATGCTATAACATGCACTCTACACTTTATGACACATGTTGAATTCATTTAAAATTAATATTTTAAAGCTACACATGACTGCAAGCCATGACATTTCACAATGACACATTGTTTAATGCTTATCACTGCCAATAACAATTAAATTTTAAGACACTATTTTAAATTGATTTTATTATTGTATTGATTTATAATTATTTCATCACATGTACGGATTCCTCGTAACGTCAAGAAATCAGGAAATGAAATATTCTAAGAAACATCAACATTATAACCATTCCAGGCATATAATTCCGCACCCTTTGAAGAAACATGATGCATGGCTTACATCATGCTGGGCTTTACATCATGGGATATTTCAACAACAAAGACATTTAAGTCATTGCTACTGACATTTATTTGCTGTTTTATAGATTGCAAATTTCAGCAAAAGTATGCTAATCAATTTTTTTACAACCAATTTTGTAAATAAAATCCACTACTCGGTTAAATATATTGCCAGAATTGGTTAAAAAAATATGTTTGAAATAAAATTAAAATGCCTGCCATTTCCATTTAAAAAAAGGGTTTTGTAAGTAATATGTATTATTTCCTGTTTGTTAACTTTTATTCTCTATAATATAAAAATTTTCTTTTTTGGAAGAGTAAAGAAACGTTAGAAACATATTATTTACCATAATTTGGTTTATTAATTGTATCGTATTGTTTGTTCTTACAAGTACAATACTTCAGTTTACACGTGACAATGATTTCATTTACATACTGGAGGATGGGTCTTTACTATTATAAGGGGCTAGTCACCAGTGATGTCCACTACAGTGGGGCCACCAGTAAGAGGGGCAAGTGTTTAATAATTTGGGCACTACTTTAGTGAGTTGGGCACCAACTAAGTGTGATTAGTAGTAATCAATTAATTATTATCTAACTCTGGCACTAATTTAGTATAATAAATTGATAATTGATTAGAGATAACTTGGGCACTACTTTAGTAAATTTGGGCACCCGTGTAGTGTGTTTTGCAGTAATCAATGAATATCGGCTAACTCTGGCACTAATTTACTAAAATAAATTAATAATAACTGATTACAGATAACTTGGGCACTACTTAAATAAGTTGGGCACCAGTTCAGTGTGTTTAGTAATAATCAATGAATATTGACTAATTCTGGCACTAATGTGCTAAAATAAATTGATACTAATTAATTATAGATAATGTGGGGCTCTACTTAAGTAAGTTGGGCATCAGTTAAGTGTGTTTAGTAATAATCAAATAATATTAGCTAACTCAGGCACTAATTTGCTAAAATAAATTGATAATAATTGGTTATAGATAACGTGGGCTCTACTTTAGTAAGTTGGGCACCAGTTAAGTGTGTTTAGTAGTAACCAATGTATATTGGCTAACTCTGGCACTAATTTATTAAATTGAATTACCTCTTCCTTATGGTGGAACAAAAAGGAAATATTATTATCAATAAAATACTGTTCATCATCATCATCATCACATTTCACTAAATCATTATCCATAGTACATTAAACCATTATTCCCTACATACGGAAGCATTAATGATGCCATTAGGACAATGTCACAGTACTTTTAAGACTGTAAAAATGAGTTTATTTAATTCTGATGATAAGAAATTATAATAGTTTCATTAATCTGGATTGAGAAACTTGGACTTAATTTCACACCTCAATTTATCTATTTACAGACAACATCTGATTTTTTAAACAATGAGACCAAAAGAAAATTTATTTTATACACATGTCTTTGATTATTTTAGCTAGATTTATGACATTTTTATAAAATAAATGCATATAATACTAAGTAAACAATATGTCTGTATGATATTCTGTATGATATTTTCTTAAAATTTGACCAGAATTTCAGCTATCATCATGCATATTTTATTTTGGAGTTATAGTATTATATGTCATACACTATGGAAACGTGCAGTATCTATTGAATTGCGTTTCTTTACAACAAAAAAAAAACAACAAAAAAACAAAAAACAAAACAAAAAAATGCATATTATGTTTTTTAGCTAAAAAGTAAATACAAAACAATGTAAGTAAAAACTTGAGTTTCCTATATGCCGCACCATTTACCATACTCTTGCTTGCTATTTTTTATACTTTTACTGTTTACATTCCACTGATGTTCCAAAATCTAAAAATAGAATATGACGTAAGAAAGCCCGTATTCTGGACAACAGCGCCACCATACAGTCCGTATTCTGGACAGAGAAAGCCTCTAAAAATAGAATATGACGTAAGAAAGCCCATATTCTGGACAACAGCGCCACCATACAGCCCGTATTCTGGACAGAGAAAGCCCGTATTCTAGACATAGAAAGCCTGTATTCTGGACAACAGCGCCTCCATACAGCCCGTATTCTGGACAGATTTTACAGCTGACATTAAACTCCATCGAGTCGGCTCCTGATGTATGTCTTAGTGACTGCTGTTTGTTTTTAGGATGTGATCTGGTTTTTCATGTCCATTTTTCGTGATTATGACTATTCTGGATAAAGAATGTTTTGAGCAGAGGTGGATTCAAGGCACGCCCCCCCCCCTTCATTTTTTTAAGGAAAAAAAAGGAAAAATATATTCAAATTGAAGTGCGAGAGTGTAATTTCCGGTCATCTAGAGATGCCCTAATCATAAATTTTCTTAACCTCAGCCCACACCATGGTGGGGCTGAGGTGGGTGGTTCCTCGGTCTGTGAAAGTCCCTTCCTGGTTCACCTCTCTTTCGGATTCCTGGATCTGGATTATTTATAATGCGTCTATTGCAATTTTCACTGTATCCTCTCAAACAGTCCTAAGAACGTTCAGAGTGCGCTACTTCACAGGGGGATTCGCCCCCTTGACCCCGCCGGGGTCATACGTAATTTGCATAACGGCTCCCCCCCTTTAAAAATCCTGGCTACGTCCCTGCATTCGCAGGCTAGAATTTAAAAACGGGTCACCAAATAATGAATTAGGTGCTAAATTTTGATTTAATGCTGGGTAAGTTAAAAACAGACATTCCGTCCGAGTGGGACTCATTCAAAAATTTGAGGGGTTCGCTAGAAAAGGGGGGGTTCGCCCGAACCATAAACCCCCTGGCTACGGGCCTGACAAGTAAATAAAAAGTGTATACTATCTTCTGTGTCACCAGAATCACATATCGTACAACAACCATTAATTTCTTCTGTCCATTTACTTAATCTAAAATGCTTCATTTGAATTCTCCAGAATATGATGTTTTAAGGAAACATTTTTGAAATGTATTTTTGACATACTTAATAAATTGGTATCCTAATTTCTTAGATTTAAAGTCAAGTGTCATCATTGATTTGATCATTAAATTTGGCCATCTTTCTTCATTCATATTGATTATACGATCGAAAAATGTAACTCTCGATATGGTTTGGGAAACCGTTAGGGGTATCCAACCTATGTGGCCAAATAAAGCCACTCGGAGCGTACTAATTGGGGCCTTGAGAATATAACGTGCCATCTGCATTTGAAGGCGTTCAAGTCTCTCCATACCTGAGTTGGAACCAGAAGACCAAACAGAACATCCATAATTGAGGGATGGTAAGACAATTGTCTTCCATAAAGTATTACCATAATAAATTCTATTGAAGTCTTCAAAGTTATCAATTATCGACGTAACTTTTGAAATTAATTTATTCCCCTTTTTAACAATATTTTCGATTTGGTCATGTTCAGAAAGATTTCTAGAAATGTATACATCCAAATATTGGTACTTGTCAGTTTCTGTGATATAATGGTCTGCCAGATGCCATTACTTATATTTATCAACCCTTTTTCCAAAGACAAGGACATTTGATTTTTCGAAGTTAAGATCAATTTTCCAATCCCTAGAAACATTTCCTGCTAAATTCAGCATCTTTTTGAAGTCACTTTCACTATTGCCAATTAGCAGAACATCATCAGCCCAGAATAAACTTCCTGTCCATTTATCTTTAACTGTAACACCAACATTATTTGATTCTAAAAGCTTTTTCAATTCATTGATAAAATAAAAAAAAAGTGTAGGAGAAAGGACACACCCTTGTTTCACTCCTTGTTCAATCGAAAAAGGTTCAGTGAACATATCACCAAACCTTACTTGCCCTTCAAAATTTTGATATAATCTATCAATAAGTCTCCACACTTTACCCCTTATTCCTACATTCCATATAGACTTCAATAAGCTTTCCCTCCATACACTACCAAATGCCTTTCGGAAGTCCATGAAGGCCATATAGGTGTTTTTACCTTCTGCCAATCTGCATGCTGCAATGCTTTTTATGGTCTTCACACCTATGTTGAGATATAAAGCCTCCCTGCACTTCCGAAAGGACATTTTCATTTTCCAGGAAGTCAGTTATTGAGAAAGCAATAATTCTGTTAAAAATCTTAGACACATATGATGTTAAAGATATCCCTCTGTAGTTGTTTAGATCTAGTCTACTATCTTTCTTAAATGTTGGTATTATGATTGATTTATTCTCATCATCTAAAATTTTCTCTAATTCATTGATCCTTTGGAACATACCAAGAGAGAGTGCTGAATATGTTCTGCACCATCCTTTAACAGCTCATTAGTTATTCCATCATGACCTGGTGCCTTATTGTTTTTGGCCTGTGTTAGAGCAGAAGAAACAATATCTTTGCTTAATTCTATAATTATACAAAAAGTTATGTTCTGTACCACTAGAGGTGCACATAATATTGTTATCCGTAGGGTCTTCTAGACTTAATTCATTGTGGACATTTTGGATGAAAATTGTAGTATTAAAGGAAGTAATGTCATGCATATTCATATGCATTTTCCCAATTATTTCCCAATATTGTCTGATTCAGTTTTTCCTTCTCAGTAATGATTTGACGCACTTCCGGTAATAACCGTTACAATTCTGTAATGCAAAATACGCTAGCTGCTCGTTCTTCCTTTATATTCTTTGGTTGTAATAGTATTATTTCGTCGCATCATATGATCTGATCTGGCTGCGATTCGGTTGGGCCTAAATTTCTTCCAGTAAAATTACTGTTACTATTGCAAGTTGGGTAAGTAGTTACACAAGGGGAATAAACTGATGATAAGGTATTTCAATATCTTTGTTTTTTTAATGAATATACGACAGTGCAAGTGACAGCGTTTTTGAACTGGGTGCGGCTCACTTAGCTCACTACGTCCTCACAGAAATGGAGGCCTTAAATAATTATGCAATAGGAATAGAATATGGCTACCAACTACTTACTACTCCTATTGGGCTATACTACCAGAGCTGCTACTGCTGTTGCTACTATAACTGGATAGATAAACAGTTTCTTCTATTCAAATTAAAATACATATTGGCAAGAATGCTGAATTGTTATGTATTTAACCAGTGTGTAGGTTGTGTCCAACAATGGTCTCTAGCTAACAAGCTTCATTTCAATGTCAAGAAAACAGAATTAATTCGTTTTTCTTCATGTTATCGAGCAGTTAAAGCCATGTCTCTACAACCATACCAGTTTCTGGTCGAACCAAAGACAGAGGTCCGTAACCTTGGTGTAATACTCGACTCTACTCTACAAATGAAGTCCAATCAATGCTGTGTATCGCTCCTCCTGTGCTGCTCTCCGTAAAATTGGAAAAATCAGAAAGCTTCTCGACAAACCCATTACTCTACGTCTGATAAATGCCTTTCTCAATTCACGGCTCGACTATTGCAATAGTCTCATCTCTAGACTACACAAGACACAAATACCTAAGCTATAGCGTAATTCAAAATTCTGCTGCTCGTCTGGTTACCTTAACTAAGCGACGTATCCATATTACTCCCATAGTATAAGATCTTCACTGGCTTCCTGTCGACAAGAGAATTACATATAAAACAGTGCTGTTAACATACAAGGCAATGAACACTCTCGCTCCAGAATACATCACCGAACTGCCCACTCCTTACACGCAAGCACGCTCTCTCCGATCCGCTTCTAAGAATCTTCTAAAAAGTTCCGAAAAGCACTACATCACATACTGCTCAAGGGCATTCACCTTAGCCTGGGTTCCAGGCCCTAATTTTAGGTTACTCACTCTTTATTGCACTTAGTGCGCGCCATACCTAATTTAATTGGCGTCCCATACTCGATTTCTTTTTTTTCGAATTAGGGCCCTGTCTCTTATACACATCTAGATGTGTATAAGAAAACGATTCATGCGTGCAATTTCCCACATCAAATTTGATGTGGGATATCGTATGCATGACTGATTTTGTAAATCACGTGATTGGCTAACTTCATGCATATTAAACAATCTTGGTAAATTTTCAAAATTGAAGATGCGGATGTCTCGACTAGAACAAGCT